GTGATAAATTGTTCAAGCTATTTAAACTAAAAAGAATATTTACATAATTAGTAATGGTGTTATTAACCTATTGATGAAAAATGCAATTCTACTGAATATGAATTCACTCATTATTTTAAAGAACCGATGATGATTAAAAAGATTGCAAAGTTGGTGACATGCAGTTGAGATTATGATGACGACGATGCTAATGATGACGAAGATGACGATGAGGATGGCGATGACGAAGATGGTGATGGTTTATCTGTTAACGTGATGTGATATAATGATGATTTGTATAACTGCTTACATCACAAATTTGTAACACAACTTATTGTCTGTCCACATGTATATTAATGTAATGGAATGTCGACCCCTTAACTTCTGACCTCATTAATGCCATCTTCTTATCTTCATCATGTCAACATTAAAAATGTCTTTAATTGCTACTAGAAGAGAATGATTTCGTTGAATGAATAAGACTAAGATATCAGGCCTACCCACTAATTAGCAGTGGTAAATTTTTAAATGAGTAAAAACGTTTATTTTTCTATGAGATAAATAATTTTTGTGTAATTTACTTTAAAATATTGGTGAGCGAAAAAACACCATTTATTAAATTTGCATTCAAAAGTTTTGTTTTAAGTTTTATAGCCTATCTGTTAAAAGTTTTTACTGAATAATATTTGTTTTGACATAAAACATTTTTGAAGGCGCAAATGCTAATTAAACTGTTCTGAATAATGTTAACAATACTTACGATAAAAAGTTACAGAAGTTTTTTTTTCATATTTCTCAAAACTTCAAACTTCTTTTCTCGGGTAAATGAAAAAAAAATTAGACGAAAAAAAAGATGAAGACACATCACGTGCAGCTGAAACATCTAAGAGGAGTTCTCATGTTATTGCAAACAAGTTGTAAAATGATAACCGTGATAACGACGATGATGATGGGTGAGTGATTACGAAGTGAAATAAAAATTTAAAAAAAAGTTTGTAGATGTTCATAGTGACGACAATGACGACGATGATGAAGATGGTGTAGATGGTCCCTGCTGAAGAACTAAAAAATCGAAACCTTTAATCATTTAGTGGGGGTTCTTAATTATATTTGAAAAGACCCTTAGTTATTCAATGGTTGGCCCTTATATTTAAGTTTGACATTAAATAAAATTACAATTTTAAAGTTTGAGTTTCTACATGGCATAATTTTCTACATTTTTTTTATATTTAAAAATTTGTTTAGGTTACTTTTCCTTTTTAACAGTGAAATCGGCGTTTTTTTTAAAGTTACCCAAGAAAATTAAGCTACAATAACCCATCTTTTCCGTATGACTCTGATGACAAATATGATATTTGTTATTATAACAAGGGTGCTGACGATGAGATGGTAAAGATAATAAATACATAAATACACACATACACACTCACACACACACACACACTCACACACACACACACACACATATACATATATATATATAATTATGGTCTATTACCAACATATATATATATATATGTGTATATATATATATATAGTTAACATTTTACGTTAACAATGGTATATAATGTTAGCAATATATATTCTTACAGACACGAGTCAGCTCATCATTGCTAATAGAAATGACGTCACATCAATCATATTTATGCTTTCCCGCAGTTTTGCATTTACTCTTTGATTCTTTTACATTCATTCATTCATTCATACGTTCATTCGTTCGTTCGTTCGATCGTTCGTTCGTTCGTTCATTCGTTCATTCATTCATTCATTCATTCATTCATTCATTCATTCATTCATTCACTCACTCACTTGTTCTTTCATTTTTATATTCATTTATTCCTTTATACATTCACTTGTTCATTCATTCATATGCCTACTCACTCACTCATCAATTATTAACATCACCTTTTACTCATTCATTCACTCATCCATTCTCTATTTATCTGCCTTCACCCATATTATCGCTCGACATTATTGTTTATTGCTTTTGTGCAATAATAATAATAATAACAAAAATAAGAAAATAATAATAAATATAACGACAGCCGTAAATACTATTACTCTTCGTGTTAAGGGCGTTTTACATTTGCATATTAGGTGTGTTTATGTGTGTGTGGTGTGTGTGTCCGTGTGTGTGTCCGTGTGTGTGTGTGTGTGTCCGTGTGTGTGTTTGTGTAGTGTGTGTGTAGTGTGCTTAATTATTGCTTGCTTGCAGCAGTCACAATTCTCACTCATCTTCATCAGAAATTGTCACCATCTTTAAATATCAATATCATTATCATCATCAACTTTATCATCATCATTATCATCATTATCAACTGCAGCATCGTCATCATTCTCATCTTCATCATAACCAGCACTAATCACGCCATAACAATTGCGTGTCATAGCGTTATCATAGAGAACTTGCATTTCAACGGTGCCAATAAACCTACAGTTAGGCAGCCATTAACAGCAACTTACTAACCCTTGTTTGTTCTGGTTCGATTTTGTTTGCTCATGAGTTCGAACAGGAACGAACAAACGCAAACATGGACAGACAGGGCAAACAAAACTAAATCAAACAAGAGAAAATAGAAATAAACAAAACAAATGTGAACAAACATGAACAAATATGAAAAGATATAAGATCTTGTTTGCGTTGTTCATCTCGTTGTTCTTGTTCGCGCATGTTTGCTCCTGTTTGCTCTTGTTTGCTTGTCTGTCAATTCATCCCATAATCTTATCTTCCTCGCCATGTTTGTTCATCATTTATGTTCTCCTCTCGCAGCATTAAATAATATTTAACTTGTGCACTTAAATAAAAGGACTTTTATACTTACATACACCCACATCTACATCGGCATATCATATTATATACAATCGTACAAATATCTAGCAATAAAAAATCTTTGAATTTTCCATGCGTTTAATATTTATTAAATAGTTTTTTACAACAAAAAAATTTATAAAAATAAATCAAACAACTAGTTAAAATACTAAATTTACTTTTTAAAATACTAAATGAAATTACTAAATGTTTGATAACATTGGAAAATGACAAAACCATCAAACGAGACACGGGAACATATCGTGAAATCCTTAGAAGAAGGCACACACGCTCGAATTGCAAAATGAGTGTTATTAATAAACAATTAGCGCATGGAAAGCAAACATGCGTGGAGGCGTTAGATAAGCTGGTATGTTATGTAGCATGGCTAGCATGTTAGTAGCACATCACACATCAATGGTTCCACACAATCTTATGGATTCATATGTTGCGATAATCATGTATGAGTCAGTAATACATTGAAGGAGTTATGAGATTATCAAATTAAGATTAATTAAGTTAATAGCCTGAGGTGCTTTAGAGCTTAATCACTTGTTAATCAACAGAATATTCATGATATAATGTGATGATGTTGATGATGATGATGACGACGACGATGATGAAAAGGCTGATGATGAGACGATGTAAGTGATGATGTTTGTAAGTCTGATGTTATAACGATTATATGATAACATTGAAACCATGGTGGCGTTCTAAATATAGATTGATATGCAGTGTGTAGAGATAGTTACTAATTTAGGCACAATTCACGTTAATGAGCAATGAATTTATTGCCATCTCAACATATTAAATTTTTAATTGATAATGAAACTATTTCTTTAAACTCTAACCTTTCAAAATGTTTCATCACCATGACCCAACCTACGGACCATATTGTTTATTAATAAACAATTGGCTTAATAGATAACTCATAAACAATTATAGCACTGTGAGTGATTTTTATTTTACATCATTTTAACAGCAAACCACACACACCATTTCTACAAAAATTAATGTAGCAAGTGCACAAACAAAAATACCTTCAAAAAACAAAAATTCTATAGGCCCGAAAAATTTCCAGAATGTTCATAAAAACGTCGCCATAAACCGTTATCAACCTTCATATATTGATCGTTAATTGCCTGTTTACTATTGCAGACTCATCATGGCGAATGATTTCTGGTTAGAAGAAATTTATTCACTGATTAAAATAAAATTTATGTCTGGTTCACGTATCATATCATACAAACTGTGGCTGGCGCACTGCACAGAAGTTTGTGCACGTGAAATATACTCTCACACAGAAATATCATTATTTGTATGCAAACATGCGGGCACAATACAAATGAACATTCATACAAGTCTCATGTTGAATGGATAAAGATGTACACACGTACGTCACACCCTACATTAATACACGAACATGCAGTACACATACGCACCTCCATACATCCAGAAACATTACTGGGAATTGTATTGTATTGGGTAACTGAGATAAAAAACTTTACTATCTTACCCGGCAAGAGAATTGTTTGTGTAGCAAAAACGTTCTTAACTCCAAATTGATTTTGTAAAAAACTTTTTAATGATTGTTGAGTTATTTATAGTTTTTAGATCAGACAGTATTTATTTTGTGTAATTTAATAAAAATAAATTTTATAATAATTTCATAAGAAGTCTCTATTTTAGCTCATCAACTGAGTTGTTTAACAGCGAAGGTATCATAAGTAAGCATGTTTAAAATGTGAAATGACTTAAAATACCGCAGCTCGACAATAAACATTAAAATATTATATAGTATAATATAAAAATGCTCTAGTTGAATAAATTATCTCAAGTTAATGCGCGAAAGTTATCAGAGACACAACATTCTAAAATGCTAACATTCTCTCATCATTGCCGGCCCACTAGTGCCATCTAAGAATTAATTTTTATTTTTTAAACATTTTTCAATTTAATACTTGGTTAAAATAATGTAACTTCAAAACAATTAATATCTTTATTAAGTAAATTTTTAAAAAATACAAACAATAAACATTAGCGAATTAGCGAAGTTAGTTTTATACTGTTATTGCTATAAAACACTATGCCATAGAGAACTAGAGAGAGAGAGAGAGAGAGAGAGAGAGAGAGAGAGAGAGAACTAGAGAGAGAGAGAGAGCAAAAAATTTTGATTGATTAAACTGCATGCTTGGATCGTAGACTTTTATTACAACCACCATTTAAAATGATTTGTTGGCTTCCTTTCGGGACATAATTTTTTCTTCAAATAATTCTCGTACAACAATGCGTGGAGAGCTGTCAAAATTGTTAATAACATCTCTCACTTACTCTGCCTTGAAGTTATTTTAACACACACTTCTTTTGAAAAAAATTTTTGTAATTTTTTAAAAATAATTTTTTTTTTCAATGAGTTAGTTTACAGATGTTTGATAATAAAATTTCTAACTCAAGTTTTAAAACAAACGACGCACCGTAAAGTACAAAGATGGAAAATACCAGTGCGAGACATGTAAAGCAAAGCTTCGTGTAGTTGTTGTACTGTTCTTTGAATGAATTCAAAAATACACGACTGTCTGGAATAAAAAATTTAGTTAAAATAGTTAAAATGGCATTTGTAGATTTTTGAATGAGTTGGAAAATAGAATAAAAATTAAGAATAATATTCATACTATGGAAGTCCTCCGACGATCGATTGAGAACTGAATGCAACATTCTAACTCTCCTTCTTTCTAGAAGGTCGAATTTTTGTAAAGTATTTTATAAGATTTTGCGTAAATTAAATTTTCATTAGAAAAATTATTATCATTAAAGACATTTATTTGTTTATTTATTTCATGTTCAGCATAATCATGAATATTTTAGTTCAATTTCTGTATCAGTTATAAGAATTTTTGATAACGTTGATATAATTCGTTATTATAATTATAGATAAATTATTAAACAAGGTTTTATTTGTGTATTTAGATCAGAGAAATATTATTAACCAATGCATTTATTGTTAGTTTCAGATTCATCAATGCCGCAAAGTTTTGTTCCATCATCTGCCTCGGCTTGAAATATTTTTAAATTAATATTTTCTTGTAAGTTACCATCAAAGTTTCAAAGTTTATCTCCTAGTGTTAACGTTTACAAGAAATGATATTTTTGTCGAATGCGCTTCATATTTATCCATTTACAAAATAATCACGTACTTTTTGTGTCATTTCCTTCGCCTGTAAAGGAGAGGTTACTAATTTCATGAGCCTGCTAAGCGAGGTTATTTTTTAATGATTGTTACGTTCGGTGCAATTGTATATGCAAGAATAATTAATAACATAACATAACACAACATGCAAATAATGAGCGTAGATTAAAATCCATGTGCTCATATCTAATATGTGGTAATAATTCAAATGTCCAAAAAACAATATTAATATGAAATAGTATTAAAATTTAATGAATTGTTTTCTTCATTTAACACACTTTCAGTCCCATTTTCCGCGAGGACTGCAAATAATTTTTAATTATCATATTTGTTGCGTTAGAGTGTCAAAATATTGTATAATGCTTTTATTGCAAATAAAAATCAAAAATAAATAATCTATATTTTATTTTGCACACCGTCCAACATAGCTACAAACTTTCATCCATATTTTCTATGGCAGCTGAAAATATTTTTTAGTTTTGTCTAAAATTTTCATGAGGGATTAAAAATGAAACTTACAAGTCCATCTGCATAGGCAGTGCTTGTCACTACTCTGATCTACACAGCCTATGTCGTCATCGTACGTGTTGACGCCGTGCTTGTAGTTGTTCACGGTGAAGATGACGGCTCTACTCCATCCTGCATCGTTGAAGTCAACAGCGAACCAGTTGCTGTCCGAAATATTGTTAAAGGCTTCGCAGAGCCAAAAATCTTGATCGCTTATGATCTGACCGCTGGTTGATGTTGCGTAGAAAAAACTTTTTATCTCTTCCCCGTCCTTCACTTGGGATGGAAACGTTCGTATGGCTACCACCTGTTCGTTTCACATACTAATTACTTTTTAAACTCAATTTTTTTTAATGAACGTTCACTTATTGTCATATAGTTGCAAATATTGAAAGATGTTACATTTGATAATAAACAAATATGGTTAAGGACTTTTGGTAATTGTTGGAGAGCATAGACAGGAAGCACGTAGAGTCCCATGTCAGAGACATTGCCAGCAACTGGAACCATCAACTCTCCATCTATGTATACCACACCTCGTCCTTTAGCGCTGTCCATGATGAGATAATCTGAATGAGAAAAAAGTTAAGACCTAGTCTCAAAACTTCAGAGGTATCAACACACACACAGGCACACGCGAACACACACACAGACCATCTTGTCATTTTAAGCATTTTTATAACATATTGCAAATGTATAAATAATTATTTTAAAGCTGTATAGCATATGAATTAATTAATTTTTGTTTTAACAACTTGTTTGCTTATTTTGTCAACTTTTGAATATAAGTAATTTGTCCAAACCGACAAATGAAGCTCCAGTCATCAGTATGAAACTCAATAAGAAATAGATGAAACGTTTCATCTGTATCATGGATATCTTTAAATATCAAAAATTTAGCATTGTAAACATCTAAGAATTATTCAATGGGCTACCATGCTTAATAAGTGAATCTTTGATTTATAAACCTTGATGATCGAATGATCGAATATGAATGAATGAATGAATGAATGAATGAATGAATGAATGAATGAATGAATGAATGAATGAATGAATGAATGAATGAATGAATGAATGAATGAATGAATGAATGAATGAATGAATGAATGAATGAATGAATGAATGAATGAATGAATGAATGAATGAATGGAAAAACAAATCGAACAACTATTGAATGAATAAATGAAGTAATGAATGAATAAATGAATGAATGATCGAATGAATATAATATTTCTGATTTATGGTAGTGTTTTGATTAATTTTCAACGAATTAACAGACTCGGAGACATTGAAAACAACTTCAAACGTAAACAAAGAATTTTATACATTTCGATTATTTTAATAATTTAGTTTGTCTATTTTTTATAAATAATTCTTACAAAAATGATATCGTTTTAAAAATATCATTTTCATATATAATTGTTTGAAGTCGTTAAAAAGAAAATATCATCTTCTTCGTCATTTATGACTCTAATTTGGATTAATTGGTAAGGTAGCTCTCGTGAATATTATTATTATAGTTCTTATTATTGTTATTGTTATTATTATTATTTATGTTCTTTGTTATAGCGTTGCTAATGCATTATAAGGCTATGCCGGCGCTAGTCGTCGTCCAATTATCATTGACGATATCAGCAATTTTCTATTACTTATTTATTATTATTATGTTGTTGTTGTTAGTGCTGTTATTATTGTTGTTTTTGTTATTTTTATTATTGTTGTTGTTTTTGCTGCTGCTGTTGTTGTTGTTATATCGCATTTGTTATTGAAATTGTTATTGTCGCTAAACAATAAAGAGCTATTATTATTTTTAATATTATTATCATAATATTTATCTTTATTATTATTATTATTATTATACTTTTACTTATTTTATTTATATATGTTTTGATTCATTATTAAATCATCCATTATTTTTTGTTAATAATTCCGTAACTTAAAACTTTTCATATTATTGTTATTATTATCAGCTATTGTTATTCTTATCATTTTATTATTTTTAGCCCTATTGTTATCCTTCGCCACTCTCTCTCTCTCTTTTTTCATATCTCTCTCTGTCTCTCTCTCTCTGCCATTCTCTCTCTCTTTCTTTCACTCTCTCTCTTTCTTTCATTGTTGCAGCGACGGTATATAACGTCTCTGTGATCGTCACAAAATGGTCATCAATCATATTTATAAACAACGTTAAAGAGTTTAAAGATTCATTTAATTTGAAATTATTCCTTAGGCTCATCTGGAGGAATTGTTACTTTAAACATTACAGATTTACTGCGTTCGAAATGATTTGATGTCTTGGGTTTATATATTTGTTTGGAAATTGAATAAACAAGTATTCAGGAGATGTAATTGAAAATAAGTTATTTTGTTAACTTGGAAGATAAAAGACAAATGCTGCCTTAATGACATCTTAAAATGTATCGAGAAATGAAAATTACGCCCAAAGACCATACACTGAAAATTTATCTGAATTGTAAATTTCATTCGGTTTTAACAAACAAACACGACAAATCCTCATCAAATCCTCCCATAAAAATTCCTTCCTACCAACTCCACACAACCTCCCTCGTTTTAATTCTCTCACAACTTTTCTTAATTTCCAGCGTCCACTGCAGTGGGGTGTACTCGCTGGATGCCAGCGTGCTCTGCAACAAGGTACCTGGCCTGGTACCGGAGCAACGAAGATTGTGCAGGGCCTACCCAGAAGCCATGGCTGTTGTCGGCGAAGGAGCTGAATTGGGAATCGAAGAATGCAGGCAACAGTTCAGTAGCAGAAGATGGAATTGCTCCAGCTCTGAAAACGAACCACCCTTGATGTTCATGACCAACATTGGTTTGTGTAATTTTTTTATTTTTATTATTGTTGCGATAACTTCACGAAGCAATATGTTTATTTTTTCATTTGTTCAACGTTTATTTACGGCCATATTACATATTTTGCATTCAAGTTTCATTTATTCCAGATTTTTAGATATTTACCAATCAATGCTATGTTGATTTAAAATCATCTCAAATTGACGCACGATTTTGGCTGAACACTAACACAACACCTACGATAATAAAACGGCAATATAATGGATTATAAAATGTTTGTCAACATTAACAATTTGTAGTGCAGCCACCAGCAGTTTCTATTTTCTTTTGATTTATTTTCGTTTCGAACGAATGAAATTTCGTTCAATTGTGCTTGCCTACTATCTTCATCACAACTTCATATTCAGGACTGTTTCACACTTCGACAACATGCACATCAATTTACTCTTTATATTTTCTCACATCAACCAGTCTTTTCGTTTTTTATTTGCTCATGTGCTTGATCTTCATAGTTTAGATATCAATAATTTTCAGTGTCAATTTGAAAAAAACGAAAATCTTGACTATCGCAAAATTTCCACAAGACTGTTCTATATCAATGAATATATTATTACCAAGTTTTTCTCTCTGAAAAGCAAACAATCGCGAGAAAGTTTTTTGATGCAGTTATGCTAAAAGAAAGATACCCAATTTAAATAATAAACTTATTGCCTATGTAGACCCCGTATGATAGAGCTTAAAGGTTCCAATTTTAAGTACCCTGCTGCTGTTGCCGAATGGATTTAAATGGACCGTTATTTGTTGAATAAACAGAAAAAAAGATGTGGAGTAATCCTGTCTGGAATGGGTGAATGATGAACCTTTTAAATTTTGTTTAAAGAATTTTATACCATTCCCTGTCGACGCTGTTGTTAATATTTGCGTGTCATATATACACAACACGTGCAATTCTTATATTCAGGTAATTATTTTCACTTTCACCTACGATGGCTGTAGTGAGAAACTAAATGTAAAAATAGACGAAAACTAAGAATCAGAAATGGCGAAGACTGGTAAATATATCTAACAAACAACGTCAACATCAAGAGCACGCATGCACGCAAGCAATTGATGCGGCTACGACAAGTGTCAAAGTTGAGAATTTCTCATTCAACATTACATTTTCACATGCACACAAGCAGGCATATATAACAACTGCAGTAATGACAAATGAATAAATAACGTGTATAATGGTAATAATAATAGAAATTATAATAATATTTTGTACTAATATCGTAATAATAATGAATGAATATTTGTGACTGTGTGTATTTGTGTGTGTGTGTAATTTTGCATTGATTTGAATGTAGTAACCTTCATTAACTTTGCTGTTAATTCATTCATTGTTTCAAATAATATTCAATCATTGGGAACTATAGCTACACACATAAAGACACATTCATTCACACATACATACACATACACATAAACAGATATAATATAAATTAATAAATAAATGCAGCACGAATGTTGCTCAATTCAAAATAACACCTCTATTAATGTTGTGACAAACTTATAGCTTCTGAAACGTGTCTTTGTATTTTCATATAACATATGTAGAGAAGAAAAAAGAAAGAGAGAGGGGGAGAGGGGGGACGTAGATTTAATAACTAAAATGTTTGCGCCATTCAAAACTTTCCTCATTTAATCTATAGTGTTGTAAACCATAAATCTATGGGATTATAATTAACCTCCACTTCAGTTCCATTTTAGTCTATTTCAGGTTGTGCACATTCAACTACATTAAATCCTGATAAATTCAAAGATTCAATTAGCTCTAATTAGTCATTGAGTTGTGAACGTAAATAAAGTTAGATTCATTGTTCGTCGTTACGAAGGAATGTGCTGTGTTGTATATGTCTGCAGACAAATATTTCGGTTATGTGTGCATGTCGGTCGGTTGCTCTTCGTTATATTTTATACTTGTTTTCTGAAAATTCAAAGTATAATATATTCTTTCAAACGAATTCAAAATTTGGGTTGTACAAAACCAAGCGAGAAGAGATGTAGTGGAATTAACTTTCAAAGCGTGACTTTCTGAATAAAAATGTTCACAACGAATAGGAAGACGTTCATCTTATTATTAAATCATGATGATTTTCAAATTTCACATTAGATTAAAATATTTTACGAACAGACAAACTTTATGTCCAAAATTGCTAAGCTAATATCTCTGTAAATTTTCCAATTTATATCATAACAAGCAATAAATTATTATGTGAGTCCTAGCGCAAGAAACGCCGCCAAAATCCCGATCATATCATCGTCACAATACATCAAACGTAACTGAACAGTGAATTATGCACGTCAAACCCATGTCTACCACATTTCCACACTTTAATAAAATGCACGATGTCCGTGCTCCGTTCTTCTTTAAAATGACACCAAAAAATGTTCTGACGTTACGTAAACGAAGGATTTTTCAAAATTTTTGATGAAAACTTCAATTGTGATTAAGAGGGATTACAGATTTGAGTGGACAGTTTTGACGTTTGTGATTTGCACGTGTGAGATATCTGTGCTTAATTTTATTTGTTTGTTTGTTTGTGTGGATATATTTGTGCGTATGTATCATTTCATTGATGTTTCAAATGTTGAGCGCTCATGGTATTTGCACGTCAAATGTATTTAGGTAATCCTTGTAAAACTTTCAAAACTTTGACGCTTTGCGCTTTTAATCCGCTAGTAACCCGCAATGATTGCAAATGCGTACTCTTCGTTCGACAGATGCACGTCTTGTTTTTGATTGAATGCATTCAATATACAAACACAAGTAGACATGCAACTAAACACTCACACATACACACGCACATCCATGATTAAAAATACACATTAAACGCAGATTATGTATTGGATTGGACACTTGCACATGCACACAAATTGTCACTGCTGAGAAACATGCATGGAAAAATAATATCCGATATTTGTAAGCGCACTTGACAAACAAGCACTAGAGTGACAACGTGAAAGTTCACAGGTATCGCACAACTTGCTGATGTTGTCGTTGTTGTTGCGGCTGTTACGCCAGCGAACGCATGTGAAAATTTCTATTTGCTCTGCGTGAGTCGTTAAGCTCTATTTGTTTATTCACCGTTCGTTTTTTACGTTCAAAAATGTTGAGGAGGTTGAAAAGTGAATTTTGAAACTTATTGATGTTGTTTTGTTTAAAAAATTAAAACATTGGCAATGTGAAAATTTTCGGAATAACTGAAAACTTATGCTGGGTATTCATGCCTATCTCATCATATTTCTAAATAATTAGAAATGTGTGAACAAACAAATTATTAAAAATATATTCATATTTATGAATTCACTTAAATTCGCACGTGCGGGCGTTATTTCTAAAATGTGATTGTTCAATGTTCACGTGTATACAATACACACATGCGAAATTGCGTAATGAGCATACTACAACTGAAGTATACATGTGAGTGTGGCGTGCATTGCATATAATGTTAACACACGCAAACGTGAGTTTTCTTCTATTTGTATTAGCAGCAGTTTGAAATGTTGAAGCTCAGCGTGAAGCGAGCTGCCTGTAGGGGGGCAGAGTCAGGTAGTCGTTGTCGTTGTCACTGCTGTCGTTCTGCTGTTTCTCGTTCTTCATGCCAAAATTTGAAATTTGTTTAAGGCTTCTACGTTCGTGAGAATGTTCAACAAAATGCAAGCTCAACAAGTTTTGCTTTCTTCAGTTCATATAATGTAAAGCTATATGAACGCATGAACGCGCATAGCTTGATTGAAAAATGGAACAAGTATTTTTTTTACAACCGATACACAGTTCATCAAAATGTTCGTTTTCAAAAATTTGAACATCCACGTCAGTAAGTGCAGGCACAGTTCACAAACCACTTGCTGTGCACCACACCACACACATGCATGGAAGGCCACCCAAACTTCGTGAGTGAGGGCGAGAGGTTCAGGTGATAGTGAGAAAAATTATTGTGATCGATTGTGGTGGGTTGTCAACTTTTTCATGAGATTTCCTGTCGTTTCCATTTATCAACTGATGTTTTTGAAACTTTTTTTATGTCTAACATACGAACGTAGTAGAGTGTTTATGTGTGTTGGCGTGATTTTGTGATTGTATGTGTTGGTGTGTTTGAATGTGTTGCTGGGTTGTTGATGGGCTTTAGTTATGACACATGATCGTGACTGTTGATGTGTTAAGAATTATAGAAACAGCATGAGATCAACTCACACGAAGTTGTGCTTATGTTGAAAGCAATTTTTTGAGTTTGATGTTTAACACATAAATTAAAAAGAACAACTTATTTTTTCATTATAACTTCTTCAAGTGTTTAACAAAAGTTCCTGAATAAACACAAATTTCTGAATTAAACTGTTAGGTAAAAATAATTTCATTTTATGAAAACCTCTGAAATTGTAGCCAGCAAAGAGTCAGCGTTCGTGTCAGCGGCGAGATCGGCTGGCATCGCGTACGCCATCACGAGAGCCTGCAGTAGGAGCGACCTCGCCGGATGCGCTTGCGACAAGTCCGTCTCTAAGAGTGACTGGGAGTGGAACGGATGTAGTGCGAACGTCAACTACGGGATTAAATTTTGCGAAAACTTCTTAGACGCCCGCGAAAAATATTCAGACAACTCACAATCGCTGATGAACCTGCACAATAACCGTGCTGGTCGCAAGGTTGGGCTTTTAAATGTTTCCTGCTTAATTGTTATTATTTCATAAAAATTGATTTTTAAGTAAAAAGAAGCACGGAGTCAAAAAATATCATGCACAGCTGAACAAGAGTCAACAACTAAAATACTAATTAAACAAATATTCTAGATCAAATAGTGGCACAACTTACGTTTTAGCTATTATTCAATTTTAATCAGTCAAACACACTTAACCAGCCATTCAATTAAAAAATTTTAAATAAGCCATTTTAAAAAGCGAACAACAAACAACTGAGTGAATAGGTTTGAATAAATTGCACGTTAACCTTATTAGGTGTTGAGATCGAGCATGAAGAGAAACTGCAAGTGCTCCGGTGTTTCAGGTTCGTGCTCAGTCAAAACGTGTTGGACATCCCTGCCTCTCATGAAAACGGTAAATATTACTTTATTATTAGACGGTCAATTTTTTATTTGAAATGGAGTTGTTTATATAAAGTTGAGCATTATTTTTTATTCTTGAAAACTTAAAATTTAAAAACTTGAACCACTCAACTAAAAACCAGATTGGCTCAAAGCTGATGAAGACGTACGAGAGAGCTCGCCAGGTGGAGGCGATAAGAGGACAACGGAGTCTCAGCGCAGTCATGTTGAAACTCAAACGTTCAGCATCGAAAACTGAAAAGAAGCCATCGTACAGAGAATTGGTGTACCTGGCCGAATCACCGGATTATTGTAAAAAAAATCGAACCATTGGCGTGCTCGGTACAAAAGGCAGACAATGTGATCGAAATGGAGACGGTTTAGAGAACTGTCGACACGTCTGTTGTGGCAGAGGCTACAATAACCAAGTGGTCACCAAACGCAAGAAATGTGACTGTGTGTTCCATTGGTGCTGCCATGTGACATGCAAGGAATGCATGGAGCTTACAGAAGAGAGTAGCTGCAGATGATTGCCTTGATTAGCACAGCATCAGCTTTATAACTTAACGATGAGATGTTCCTATTATTATTGAACACTTTCATTAAATTATTTTTTCATTTGAAAATCTAACAGTTTTTTTGTTTTTATAGCGGTTTAGTTAATATTTTTTAAACTTACAACTTTTTGTAAATATTTTTATAAGATTGGAACGAATCTTTCAATCTTCACATTCCTCAACTTTTATATTATTGAATATTAATAATTTTATTTTTATGATTTCAGTTCGATTAATGATTTGTTCGACTTGTTTCCTCAACTAAAAATTTAATTGTTAATTTCAATCTATCAATGAATGACAATGTTGTTTGGTGTGGAATTATTCGAAGGTGCTCTATTTCATCAGAGAATATAATATAGACTAGGCTGATCAAGAAAGCAAATTTTAAAGATGAAATAAAAAATATAATGACAGATAACAATAATAGTAATGATAATAATAGTATAACATTTATACAGCGCCCTATGTTTAGCGTCACTAACATATTTATTGAGTAATTAAACTTTTTATCGTTAATTCATATTGAGTTTAAATTACTAGTATTAATATTATATTCAACTACTATAGTTAAATGCCTAACAAAATTCAACACCTCTTCCTATTTCGATAGTTTCTGCCCTTAATTTGTATCTTTGGTGTTTAGTCGTTTGTTTGAATGAATAAACAACTATATAAGCCAGGAAATAAAAGTATAGACAACACCGAGCGAGATCACCATTCTTACTTGGTGTAAGCAAATAGCTCCATATAATGCTTCTTGATATCATACATATGTGTTGATATCATATTTTATTGACACTTTAAAATTCATTGAAATTGTTTCAATTGAATTATTTGTGAAAGCAAAAAATTTTCAACTTTTTACATATTAATAGCCGTTCTGTCAACCGGTTCTTATTTTCATCCACTAATATTTTGAATAGTTTAAAAAACAGGTTCGTCTTTCCATATTTCCATGTCAACAAACTACGCGTTAAAAAATAAATTGCCAAAATAACGCTCGTTTCTAGAACGTTGAATAGATTGTTACATAATTGTCCTGATTAGTTTTTTTATTTTAAACTAAAATTTTTTACTTCTCCGTTTTTGTGTTTTACACGATTCTTCGACATTAAGGTTGTAAATTGCTTTTTAGATGTGCAATTAAAATATTCATAAAATATAGAATAATTTTTAAAATTTGCACGTTCATGTATAAGTCTCAATCTAAATTATTTCCTAAGTATTTATCAGATATATTAATTGAACCTAAACACCCCGGTTTACGATCGTCTTCTTCTTCTCGCTTTTCTTAACTCGTGTTAAACACTCTTTTGCCAAATCTGCTTTTGTTTTTTCTGGTCCTCTTCTCTGGAACTCTCTACCTACTTCTCTGACTACTTCTCCATCACTTGCGAAGTTCAGAGCGAATCTCAAGACCCATCTGTTTTCAAAATTCATTGAGGAGCACTGTTGAACATCGCGGAAATAGCGCTTTATAAGCTAATTGATTGATTGATTCATTTTTTTTCCTTAATTTTCAATATTAATATTTTAATATAATATAATATTAATATTTTAATAAAATTTAATTTTAATATTTAATATTAATATTTTTTTGAATAAGTAAATTGAAATCCCTTCAGTTTATTCACTGGCATGAGTTAGTTAGGAATTTGGGATTGAGTTGTTGAGAAGTGTGTGTAATCTGTAATGTAATGTAATCTGTAAGTAAGTAAATTAGTAAATCAATCAATCTTTGTTTTGCATCCAGAGACCTAGTTTCCAGAGGTAGGACATTGTTTTCTTTGCCATCAACTTTTTGCGCCAAATTAGACGATCAGTTGTATCCATTTCATTTAAATTTAGAGCTGTACTGTAATCTGTAAGTAAAGTATATGTAATATAATAAAATAAATAAAAAATTATTTTTTGCTGTTCATCTTATAATTATATTTTGACATAGTTTTTTTAATTAACACTTCTTTACTGAAGGTGGAAATGACATCTCTGCAAGAAGAAGCTCAAAAACGAAGAGAAAGATTAAAAAATCTAAGAGAGCGCAAAGATAAATTAGAAAATGACGAAAGTGATGAGAAGAAGGCAAAGATGGATGATGATGTTTGTCAAGCTCTGCCAAAGTAATTTTAATTTATCCTGGGAAATACTTTTCATTTTATTAGTATATAATTTTTTATACAATTGTTATTCATCTACGACTCTGGTAATATTTTTTCTTTTTCCATGTTTTTTCAGATCTGTAGATTAGTATTCTCAGTTTAGTCACAACTTTACTTTTAAAAAGTAGCTTTGTTTCAACCTTACTGAAATTTTCTGTAAATTAACATTTATTTTTGATATTAAAATGCAACTTCTAGGCCTGTCTTCAGGAGTTACCAGCCAACTGATGAGAAACTGAAGGAAGGAGTGCTAGAACCAGCTAAACCACTTGAAAGTTTGCTGCTGCTTTGTTATAATTTTTTTCCAAATTGTTTTCAAATTTAAATGAGTTGCTTAATAATATAATGCAGTTCACCATTGTATTGCACTGTCTAACAAATAGATTACATATACTTTAAATATATGTCATCACTATGATGCTTCAATATATAGTGATGTATTATACGGATATTTAAATTCAACAAACACTTTATTACCCACCAATAGTCAAGGAACAAGTGAAAGATCAGCTGATTGATGCCCAACAGACGAACATTGTCGAAGAAGTGGTCAGTTCACTTTTCATTGCATTCACTTTTATTATTTTATTAATGGTACATTAAAATGAATTGTTAATTTGGAACATCAGGTTCGAAATTTTGTTATATCTGAACGTTATACATCATCATAGTTGCATACTTTGTTATTGGATGTGTGATCAAAATGTCTGGTAGAACAATGCCTCAAAGAATTATAGATTTTTGAAACTGATATTTTTGAAGTAATCTTAATCGAATTGAAAAGCAATTTACAAAATGTGAAAATATTTAAATGATGACAGAAAATTTTTGCCTATTAGGAATTTTCATGCTGAACATAAATCTTTTGTCTACTATTAATTTCGAGGAAAATTTGGGTGCATTTCTTTCTGTTTACCATACTGTTCAATGCTCTTCAATATTTCACATTTATTATAATTCTTCTCAGAATCCGTGACATACTTTACTGTTTGTTTTGTATCTTTACATTTCCGGGGTGTAAGACTTTGTATCACATCGTATCTTCTAATAACTGGAGATATCTTTTTTAAAATTTGCAGGACCTCCTGAATCTAGCGCCTAGGAAACCTGACTGGGACTTGAAACGAGATGTTGCCAAGAAACTTGAAAAGTTGGAAAGAAGAACACAAAGAGCTATGGGAGAATTAATAAGTAAGTGTTTTAGTTATGTTAATGAGCTGGTGAGTGAATTTTTCTATTTGCTTGTCATTAAGTAAGCTTATTTGTTTATCAGTGACTAATTAATTTGTTTATTTATAAATTTGGTGATTAATAAGTAAATTTGTTTATAAACTTAGACTCATTGATCTAAAATGTATGTATTAAAATATGTGTAAATATATGTATCTTTTTTTACTTCACTTAAATACTTCTTAGATATCATTTTACTCGATCTTATCACACTCTTTATTATATTCTTATTTCCTTGTCCATCTCACAATTCTGTTCCTCTCACGACTCAACAATTCCCAAATTAAGTTTCAAACAGATTATAATCTGTATTTTTGGTTATTTATTTATTATTTCATTATATTTTCTATTATTTTATTGATAGTTATTTATGAATGTCTCACGTTTTTTAAAACAGGGGATAGGTTAAAATCTTGTGAGATGAAATCAGAAGAGGTAGCCGCCAGCTTGTATTTGACGACGTGATCAATATACATTTATGTATTTTTTTTCTATTTTGTAAAATTTAGATAAATTTTTTATTGTCACATTTATCGTCATTGTTATCAATCCTTCTTTTATCAACACCAATAAATGTTATTAGTTTTTTTTACTTCGTTTTTTTTTCAGTTTTTAAACAGAGTAAAAAATGCGTGCGTAAAATGTTTTCATACTTTCACAAATACTTCAGTATAGTTTATAATAAATGCGATTTAATTTCGGAGTAGTGTATTTGCGAAGTGCACAACTGTTGGAAGTTCGTTCACGCAATTGCTGGGTGTTCTGAAGAATCTTGATGAAGCGTTCTTATGTCGTTTGCTTCCTTCAAACCTGCAAACGTTCATATATTTAATTTTTATTTCATCTCTACTTAGCTGAATTTTATTTTAAAACTATTTTTCGCGATATCTAGTTTTACATCGCGTTCTATTCAATTACGAATAACTAAACGTGTTATTACTCAGTTGCATTTACTTGTTTGAAGTTTATTCCGTGCTGACAAAAAAAGACCAAAGAAAATTATAGCTATAAAGATACCAAAAACACTTCCAAAGGCTATCGAAACCACACGGTCAATTGGCACAAAATCTCTCCGCTGAACTGTTGACATGAATGCTGGCAATAAAGATATGTAAATATTACGATTTATACAATTTAGAAACATTCATTATTAACCAGAACATGGAAGACATTGCTCGATATCAGACGCTGTAACAATTAAAATTGCAGTTTTACAAATGTATTTTAAAAAATTACAAATTTAAAGCCTTTGTTACTACAGCTGAATACGCATCGTAAAACAATTTTTATATCTTCATCTAAACATAAATGTCAACCTCTTACGTTTAGGTCCTTCGTTGAACCGTTGTAGTATCGTATGCCTGCTGTTTTGTATTGTACATTTTTACATTTAAAATCATTTTTCGTATTAGGGCAAGAGAAAATTAAAAAAATCAAAATTTTTTTGTTACCAAGATATACAGAAGCGTTGCACGCCACCGTTTGCTCTCCAACTTGTTTCAACCTAATGGTGTTAGGCTCTTTACCGCATTGGTCGAATGGTTTAGTGGAGGTCATGAAGTATTCAATTTCTTTTCCAGTTTTACTCTCGCAGGTAATCGAATCGCAAACCTTGAACTCTCGGAAGTTACCGTCGTACGTGAAGACAGGAGCTGATGGCTTTACATCTAAAAAACAAAAAAATATTTTTCTTTCTTGTGACAGTGGTGTTTAACACGAATGTCGATTTTAATTTATTTTTGGTATTTGTTTATCAATTTGAAATTCAAATATTAAATTGAATGTTCGTTAGAAAAAAGTTTTCAAATATGATAGATTTTACCCTCCGTTTTAAAGTTCAGTTTGCGAACTTTTTCTCCACATTCAACAATTTCTTTGCTACGATTCCAAGTCAAACTCATAGTGTATTCAACGATATGATAGTTAGTGAAGAAGAAAAAGTTGAAGACAAACGCTGTTTCCTAAATAAAAAAGGTTAAAGGTCTATTAAACTCTTCCTAGGCTCAGAGGAATCAACATGACGCTAAAAACATTGTAAGTATATGAATAGGGGCTAAACGATACATCAAAAACGAAGCAATTTTCAAACTTACATGAGTTCAAATTTTCAATTTTACACAAGCCATAGAAGCATATTTAGTTAGTGGTTTATAGTGAAAAACACACAGAGAGGTAGCCAAGTAGCCAAGCAGACTAGCAGCCAAGATCAAAATCTGAGCTATAATAATAATATTTTTAATAAAATTGGTTGAACCCATGTGAATTGTGTTTTGAATTCTTGAAAATACAAAATTAATCAAAATTTTGCATAAAACAATATTACATGATGCATTGAAAGAAATCTTCATCGCATGTCTTTACACGGCTACCGCTCTGAAAACACGTACAAAATAAAGTTGTTTACTATTTTCTGACGAGTTGTTCAAAAACTTACCATTGTCTTTTTCAAAAACGTCTTGGTGTGTTTTGACCTGACTTGCAAGTTTTGAATTTTCATTTTTAAATACAATTCATCTTTGGTCTGATAGTTTATCGTACACAAAACTTCAACTAAGTCTAGTGCGAAGTATGGCTTGTAACTGCATTTTGTTTCACTTTCTATATTGGTTGTTTTTAGAAGTTAGCAAAATTGTAATAGTAAATGTATCTTTTGTCATGAGACAACCCAAGTGTTTAAGAATAATAAAGTAATAATTAATAACGTGTGTGTGTGTTGTGTGTATGTGTGTGTATGCGTGTTCTTGTTTGTCTGTTTATTGGTGCATGATTGTGGCTTTGTGTTTGTGCTCATAATTTTACCAATAACAGCAGTGAATCTTTCATAATGATGATTCTGAGTATCGCAGGTGAATTTAAAATTTAAATTGTTAGGTTGGACTTTAATAACGTTGGAAGCAGCTTGATTGTTTTTTTCGTCCTTCCATTCAGGGCACTCGTTCGGCAGGTCTTGCTCATCGTACAATTTCATCAAGTAGAAACATTGGGAAAGTTGCCTGACTGTTGTTGTTACTGTTGTTATTTCTCTTGGCTGTCTTGTTGTTGCAACAAAATTAGCTTCTGCTTCACTTTTGTTCAGAGAATTATCATTAGCAGTTGATGGTTCAACTGTACAAATTTGTACAAAATTTTAGAAGTCTTTGAAGAAAATTTTTTAAAAACAAAACATTTTTAAAAACTGATATTAATACTACTTCAAAAAATGAGCCAAATCAAAAAACTAGTCGCCGAGTTAGCTCAGTCGGTAGAAGGGTCATGTCTCGCGCTGCTATTACGCGATGGTATGGTTCAAACACTGTCATTTCGAAACTCAAACACTATCATACGCGTATAATGCGGTGCCTGCGTGTGCATGCGTAATGTTAATGTGCGTCGTGTGCTGTGGTGCGAATAGGACGGCCTTTGTGGCACGAAAGTTTATATTACAAGTAGAGAATAACATTTAAGCAGCTTTCACTGCATTACTTACATAAAAATGTTAACGCAAAAGTTAGACTATATATACAAAAAATAGAATATAATCTCGGAGCGTGGAGCATGTTAACCGATACAGAAAAGTTTCATCCACACTTATTTATTATTTATTTTGCCGACGTCACTGGGCTAGTTTTGAGTCGTTGCATTTTGTTTAATTCATATTTTGTGTCTCTTTATGGAATAGCCGAGTAACCACACCGCCTTGTGTTAAAACGACATATAACAAACTAATAAACCAAATATTAAAGACAGGTAACATACAACTAGTAAAACCCATCCATAGCTAATTAGATAAAATTTGTTGATTTATGATGGTCGGTCAAAAGCTAGTGACAGCTCAAGCGTTCGCAACATTTGTAATGTCCATTATCTTCATTTATTAAAACGCTGAAGCATTCGTTACTTTTTCTTTATTTACAACTCTAATTAATATCTTTAAAATTGTTTGAAAAAAAAATAAACAAATGGAATGAGTGAAAAAAATAACAATAAAATTAAAAGTTTATCAAACAATATGTTAGTTACTGCTTGAATGCCTAGTTAAAAAAATTAACAACATATAATATGCACTTCCCTTTTTTTGGTCGCGTTTCGTTAGTTTTTAACGGGTGTATATATATCATTCTTATCCTGAAAATTCTGGAAAATTTTTTTCGTTTTTCATCAATTGTCAAGAGTGATGAAATCTGCATCTCATTCCTCATTAACCGCAACATTTAAGTCGGATCTCACACGAACGCATTACCAAATCAAATAAGATTTATTCCACTGATTCGAATTTAATTGGTCCAATTGAACGTTTAGCTCCATCATCATCTCACATTGAACTTTGAAAGCAATGGATTTTAAAATGTTTCTAATAAATCCGTGTGCAATAGATCAATTTTTCGAAAACTTGTTTTTTAACAATATTAACCACTATCATCGTCACACCATAACTATTGTAATCATTATAACCAGAACGAATCATCACCAGCAACATCATCAAATTAATATACGCTTTTATCAACAACTTCATCAAAGTCATTACTATCGTTATCATCGTATCACCACCATCACCAGAAGCCATCATCGTAACTGAAAAACTTTTTCTTCTCATTTAGATCGATTGAATTCTCGTCCGCTTCATCATCTTCATCACCTTCATCGTCTTAGTCATCATCCATCTCAGTAATTTTAATCATCATTTCAATCATCGTTATCGTTTTAATCTTGATCACCATCATTTAGTCGTAACCATTCTGTTACAACTGTCGACCGCAATTTAAGCGAGTTATATTTACCATTTACTTTCCGACGTTTCGTCATAAAAAAAAAATAGCAGTAAATGCCACAGTAAAAACATGCCAAAATTTTCTAAACTAATTTGCCATTCAAATGAACAACTGAAAGTTCACAAATGAGATATTCATGTATCAAAACAGGCGTTTGTACATAATTTTTTTTATTTTTCTTCTGAACGTTTTATAATAACCATTCAATCTTTCAAGTCATTTCGTCACGGAACTTGTTAATGGGATAAACAATCAACCATCCTCTAGACTGCCAATAATCGAACCAACCAAGTGACAAGCCAAACAATCAATCTACCAACCATTCAACAATCTGGACAATCAAAGAGCCAGCCATCCAACAAACCAGTCTATTCGTCAACTGACCAGGACTACGCCCATCCAATCAACATGCAAATTAATGACCTAGCCAGCCAGTCAACAAACAAAGCAAACAATCAACCAACCATTCATTAGCGGTTACCATTGTCCAGTTAATGAGATAAATTATTCTTTCTTTTAACTAGGATGAATTGATTGGCTGTGCGTCAAATCACGTGACCAGGCGACCATGACAGTAATGATAATGATGCGGACGATAGTGATGATGATAACGATGCTGATGAAATAACAAATTGCATTTCATATCCGCTTGTGAAGCACGCTGATTACGAAAAAACGCAAAAAATCTTAAAAATGTGAAATCAACAGGACAATAGC